GAGATCGCGTTGGCGGTTGTTTCTTGTCATCGTGCTTGCTTTGGGTAGATTTAGTAGCTGTTTGGGAGAGTTTTTCGGAAACTTTTAGTTCAGTTTCCCACAGACGGCGCCAGTGTTGAGGTTTATTCCTTCAACCCTCGGGTCCAACACGTAAGCCCAAGGATTTCGAGTGGAGTAGGTGTGAGTAAACTAGCCCAACTAACAAGTGAGATGAATCAAGAAACAAATAAGTAGCAAGTAAGTGATTAGGTATTATTATCTCTTAATAACTCCCTAATACAATACTTTTTGCTAAGGCTCCGTCGGCCGTTCGTCTTACAAGGCAGTAGAAGTGCTGCGAATAGAATGCTATAGCTAGGGTGCTAAGAATAGAAAGTTGCCAACCCTTTACAATGAAATAAATGCTTCTATTTATACCCGCCAATGGGCAGGTGGCTGTAGTGACGTGGCAGCCTGTGGACCGCTGGTGTCCCAACTACCAAATCTTTAGCATTAAATGCACTTCCCGCCAGAATCTAGGTTTCCCGCCGGATTAGTGGGGACGTTCATCCACCCGGGAAGTGAGTTGGATTGCTCCAAGTGTACCCTTAAGAGATATCGGCAGTTCGTCTCCTGGCCTTGAATGGTATTCATCATGCGGACTGGGTTTCCCCGATGACTACAGGCTTGTCCTGGGGACGTTCGTCGCCATCCCTGGTGGCCCGTGGTTCTGCTCCTTGTCCCTGCATATACGTTCGTCGGGATGAGCTGCTGGGCCTGAGTCCCCCAACACCAGACGTTCGTCCATCCTCAGGGAACATGGGCCCGTGGGTTGGCCTAGTGTTCTAACTGGACGTTCGTCTAGCAAAATGGGTTAGTGGGCCGGACCTCGGCTTGGGCCCTTAACCCAACAACTATAAAAAAAAAAAATAAAAAAAATACAAAAAAAAAAAAAAAACATAAAACAGCTTGTTAAGTTGAAAACCCACAAAGGGCAGCTTAAGCAAAAATAAAGCAAAAATAGGAGTGAGTCTGTGAGATATATTGAAGAAAAATGTGGGAAGCTGGGTTGAAAACCCGAAAGGGCACCTAGGCAAAATGAGAGAATGAGAGAAATTATTTCTTTTGATTTTGCAGGATCCTAAGGGTGGTCACTAAAGGAAGTTCATTGCATGAGGAGAAAGAAATTGAAGACCCCTTGATGTATTCTTTTTATGTTTGGGGATACTTTGTGATTATCTTGGTTCTAAAAACACTTTGTGATGGATGATGATCTTATCATTTAAGGATTTTTTTTGGATTGCATTTACTCGAGACGAGTAAAGATTCAAGTGTGGGGGTATTTGATATGCACTAGTTTGTAGTGCATAAATGTATGTTTTTATATTTATTCTGTGTGGATTGTTTACCGTTTTTAGTTAGTTTTTAAGTAGTCATCTTCATTTGTTTGTAATTGATTTTAATCATTTTTTGTAAGTTGTAAAGTAGTAGTAGAGTTATTTGCAAGGAAAAGAAGTGAAAAAGAAGAAGAAAAATATCCAGGTGCACAGACCCGGCCGGGTCAGGCACTTCACCCGGTCGGGTCTGATCTAACAGATGCAGGTACTCAGGAAATTACGTCACCCGGTCGGGTGAGGTATTTCACCCGGTCGGGTCCGACTTGACCCGGAACACCAGAACGTGCCGAAGATCGCCAGAACGTGTAGGATATTTGATTTTGACATGCACCCGGTCGGGTGGGCACTTTACCCGGTCGGGTACCCGGCCAAAGGTGTTGAAAAACACCTATAAATAGCCCCATTTTCCTTCACAAGTAATCATCCCTTCTTCCATACTCTTAAGCTCAGTTTAGAATAGTATTTCTTTTATATTTTTATAGTATGTTTAGTCTCCAAATGAGGAGCTAAACTCTTCCATCTTGGTTTTGCTACTTTGAAGCTTAATGAATTTGTAAGTTGTGAGTTATTATCTTTAATCTTCTTCCTTGAATATTAATTCTTTCTTTAAATACTATTTCTATATCAATGTTGGGGAGTGTTACTAAGATGACAATTAGTTAACATCTTGACATTAGTTATAGTAATAGTTATTTCTTCCTCTACGTTAATATCGGGGAGTGTTACTAAGATGACAATTAGTTAACATCTTGATATTAACTATAGTAGGATTCATCTTCTTTAATATTCTTTCTTGAGTATTAATTAGTTCCTATTCATATTTCATATTAATATTTTGAACATTACTTAAAGGATCAACTAGTTTTGTTTCATATATTAATTAATACTAGAATCGGTCGATTAATACACTTGTTATTAATTCGGCCCTTTCACGATAGTAAACTTGGGGTGTTAATGCATGCTTCTCATGGTTAATAAGCCAAGGGGAATTAATTATATTGATTAAACCAATAAACCGCTTGTGTTGAGGTTATCAATCTCAATCGTTTTCATCTTAAGTTTATTGCTACTATCAAGTTAATATACGGCGCTTGTTCTATATTGACTCGATAGTAAGTTTTATTAATGAACGCTTCTCGTTATTAATAACTACCCTCGATGAACTGGATATACTCCTCGATTGAGTATTCGAGAGGAAGATAGTTAAAGATATAACCGGGATCGACGAACATTTCATTAAGTGGATAAAAGCAAAGCCAAGTCTTCTTCGCATTAATTAAACCACATAACTCGTTCATCTTCGTGTTTAAATTAAAGTTCTTCAACCAAATATAAACCCCCCTTATTGTTACTTATTTATTCTTGTAAGAAGAAAAGAATTCCTTTCCCTGTGGATACGAACCTTACTTCACTATACTACGTATTTGTGTTGTATTGTATTATTACTTTGAGTGCACCTCACGACAAAGTGCACGTCAATATACTACGTATATAGCTAATGTGGAGAGCCTGGTGCAAATATTGCAATCCCATCTCACTAACCCACACCTTCAATGATGTACTCGTTTGAAATTTATCACACTTTATATTACAAGTTTACAACTTTATTTTACAACAAGATTATGCTAAACATAAATATTGTGATTAATATTATAAACATTAATTTTATGATTAACATTATATTATTATATTACTGTTATTATTATATTACTACTACTATTATTTTACTTCTATTATTATCATGAGTTTTCCTAAAATATTACTAACATTCAATAAGGATACTTTTTTTTACCCAAGTCACTATGAGTAACTTTTATAGCATTCTAATTGTAAAATTTAAACATAATTATAATCATTAAAATAACTACGTCACTTTTTATTCACTATCCTTATTTGGTCATATACTATTTCTATTATTATTATAAATATCACTAAAATTATTATTACTATTACTATTACTATTATTATTATTATTATTATTATTATTATAAATTGAACTAAAAATGTTTAAATTTTTAGTGTTGATTCTCCTTTATTAGTGTTTATATAGATTTATAAATTGCACTAAAAATGTTTAAATTTTAAGATAAATAAAATTTATTCCTATAATTTATGAGTTATTGACGGGCTCGAGTCTGGATTGAACCGAATATCACTATGCTCGAACTCGGCTTGAATAACTCTTCTAACTCAAAATCTAGCCCGTGTTCGAGTTAGAAAAAAGTTCGTTAAGCTCGGGTCGTTAAATTAAATTTGAAAGCATGCTCGAACTCAAGTAGTTCGAAAAAAGTTCGGTTCGAGAACAACCCTAAGCTAAACTTTTTGTCAGTTGTAACAATTTTTTCTCTTAGCCCACCCCACTTTTCATTCCTGGATCCGCCCCTGCTGTTATTTGATATACTTTTGCATTTCGTCCTACTTCACCTACTTGTATCCATATTGTTCCAGGCATGTTTGATTCAAACTAAAGGCTCCTCCATAATATTAATATTAATATTAATATTAATATTAATATTAATATTAATATTAATTTTAATATTAATATTAATATTAATATTAATATTAAAATTAATACTAATATTAATATTAATATTAATATTACTATTATTGTTGTTGTTATTGTTATTGTTATTGTTATTGTTAGTATTATTGTTGTTATTATTACTTTAGTTATTATTATTATTTTGACCCAAAGAGAATCTGAACACTCAAATTAAGATGTACAGGAAAAAGTATCAACGGTCTCATCATGTGAGAACTAGATCTCAAATTTGGATGGAATACTGACCTTGCATCTAAGTCTTAGGTATTCTTGGGTTGGGCCTTTTTTTGCCTTTTTCTCCTTTTGTGTTATTTTCTTTTGACTTTCCTTCCATGTAATTTTCTTTTCTTCTTGAATAAAAATTTTATGTCATCCAAAAAAAAGATATAGCGCTTCAAAAAAAAAGTAGATATTTTTAAAGTGATAAATTATTTTTTATTTTTATATATTCAATATTGGTGTCATATCAAAGACAATAAAAGGTTATGAATTTCGATATATTTTTCGTAACAATCAGAGTACAAATACAAAAAGATATAGCGCTTTAAAAAATAGATATTTTTAAAGTATCAAATTATTTTTTTATTTTTATGTATTCAATATTGGTGTCATATGAAAGATTAAAAGTTATGAGTTTTGATATATTTCTGTAACGACCAAAGTACAAATAAAAAATTGACCAAATGAACGGCTAATAGGAGTGTTTTGTAACATAGTTGTTTTATTTGGTTTTTTTATCTAAACAGCAAAAATTAAAAATAATAACAATTGTGATTATATAAACTAATCGTTGATGTACTTATCATCAAGACATCAACAAATAAAAAGTTATGTTAAATTCATATACTTTTTGTATTTAAATCCTTCATAGTCATTATGCGTCTTAACGGTTAATTGTGAACAGCTAAGTTAGTAAATACTTTTATTTTGGTCCAGTGATATCCCGAACAGCCAATATAATCGGCTATCAACTAAGAAACACTTCAATTTATTATCAAAACAAACAAACACTTCAAGTCTTCAATTAAGCATTACCGACCACTTCCATTAAGCACATTCCAAAAATCTATAAAATAAATAACCGGTAAAGATAGAAGTATATATGCAAACATATGAGTGATATTTCCATCGAGTAATGTAGTTAAAATATTACTACTACATTGAGAAAAGACACATCGGGGAAAGATAGTGCAAAGTATTTCTATTTCCATCTGACACTAACGCTCAATTCGTTTTTGTAATCACGTTATACTGCATTACTGCATAATAAATTGCCTTCCAGTATGACATACGAACATATCACAGGATGCACCAATAAAAACATTGCCCTAAAATTACAATAAACTTCGACTGAAAGTCACTACACAAACACAATCTTTGCTTTGGCGGAAGCACGAGGGAGATTCAAGACTTGTTGCCTAAACTCATATTTCTCCGGGCAGTCAAATGAGTCAATACTATCAATGGGACGAAAAATGACAACCTTTTCTAGTTCCGGAAGAGAGGCAAGTAACTCCTTAATGTAAAGCATTTTGAACCCCAATCTATATACAGAGGTAAGCTTCAAAGCAAGAAGCTTGTTGTGTGTTTGAGCAACACTTTGAAGTTCTTCCAAAGCATTCACCATTGCATCATGTTTAGTATTACAAACCTCTTCAAACTTCAGATTCATACCAACAATAACATCAAAACAATTCAGCATTTAGTTTAGAAAGCAAAATGTCAAAACCACATGTAAAACAAGTAGACTTCCACTGAATATCTTTTATTCAAGCAAAAATGAGAATTACCCAGAAACTTATATCAAGTTTGCATAACTTCGGGCACAGCCGTAGCAAACGAACAAATGCAGAAGTCCTATCAGCAATTTGGCTATAATGATCTGATAGCTTCAGGTATTCTACATTCAGTTGTAATGGAGGGCCTCTTTTCAGTCCTCTGTCTAATTCTTCAACAAAGTACTTGGAAATCATGTAGAAATAGGGTTGTGTTAGTTCAAATGTACAGAGTACTGGGATAAATAGATAGTAAAACAAAAGGTCTGGTGAAAATACCTGAAGAGATGAATCAGTCAAATTGAGATTACGGATACAGCTCAAGTTCAAGTTAACCGGGAGAAAAGTTCTCAATGCATAGAAAGAACTAGTTACAATTTTCAAACTACAAAGATTTGTAGCCAGAAAGTTGAATTGAGACATGTTCACACAATGGTTAAATGACAAATTCTCCAGCACAGGGACCTCAAGAGCACAGTTTGAAGGACTTGTAGGAGCAAAGTCAACGTGTTCAAAACAAAGTGAAGTGACATTTGGTAACTTGCAAGGGAAAGTAAATGGTTCAATACAGAAACCATCAAGATGCAATCTCTTGAGTGTTGAACATCTAAAAATGCAATCTGGCAGCTGGTATGCGTAATGTGCAAGACGAAGGTGCATTTCTTCAACGCCTTTTTGTGTAACTATAAGAAACCATTGGTCCATGTCATACGAAGGTGACTTACCACCAAGTCTTGCAGCATTTGAAAAGCAAATGACCAGTTTCCGGATAGATCCACTATGCTGCAACAGAATGATGTTTATCACGTGAAAACCGCAAGATCTCCTGACACTTTTATTCGCTCCACGATATTTTCTGTCCAAGTAACAAAAGAAGTGATGATCAAAGCACAGTTGTGACAGACTGTACCAAATATCTCTCCAAACGGTAGATAAAACTGCAGTTTTAGCAGCTTCTTGGATAGGCAAGAGTCCCATAATATGGTCAAGAATACCCGCCGGAAGTTGACTGATTCTATCCATCCCTTCCACAACTTCGGCACGCAAGTCTAGCATATGAAAGTTAATACACAATTACTGAATATAGTCAGAAGCAAAACATTGAATCCTAAAATGGGTTGGTTATCTTGAAGACAGTATGTAATAATTTAAAGTTGACATTAGAACCAAAGGAAAATCAAACCAAGCCAATCTTTCTTAAAACATACAAGTATCAAACGTCTCTAAACCCTAAAGCGATAAATCTTTTAATTTCTGGGGAACGGAACACAAGGAACGCGTGATATAGATGCCTCTGATTTGTGAAAATGGCTAGTACAGTAAAAGCATCAGATTTGGGCACAAATTTTAAATTGGAGCTACAAAAGCTAGTTTCGCAAGTTCCCTTATACTAAAAGTCTAAAAATAAGATTTTTGAAGCACCAATTAAAAAAATCGACTTTACAATCGTTAATGGACGCAGTATATTAGGTTACCGAAAAACCTGCAGTCGAAATGGAGAAGCAGCGGATCGGACGAAGCAGCTGAGAGCGGAGCGGGCGAAGCAGAGGAGAACCCAGACCTTTCACTATGAAGCGCTCCCAAAGTGAAGAGTCCAGCTTGGTGTACGGGCCTGGTTATAGGCCGGGTTATAACTGTATCTCCACACAATTTGATCGAGAACATAATCGATTTCCACAATTCCACACAAACATAAATAAAAAGTTATCCGTGTCAATTAATGATAGAAAAAATGACTGGAATATTACTTACACGACACTTAGGTAGTGTTTGCAACTGCTTTTGCTTAAAAAAGCACTTTTGGATATGTAAGAAAAAAGTGATTAGTAATAAAAGTTGATTGTGTTTGAGAAAAAAGTAATTTTGAAAAATAAAAGTTGGTAGTGTTTGATAAAATAAGTGCTTTTTGTGTAATAGAAAAGAGAAAAACACTTTTCACACGCAAGCCGAGAAAAAGTAAAAATTGGTTGTGTTTGGTAAATAAGTGCTTTTTTAAGCCAAAAACTGAGAAATGTTTTTTTTAAGCGGTTGCAAACACTCCGTTAAAGACATTAATGTGGCTGTTTGTTCTTTTGGACAAAAGTAAGACCATACTTGAAGCAAATAGACTAATTTGTCCTTTTATAAAAATGAATTTACTTGGGTTTTATCGCCACTTGCTTCCCAATTCAAAGCAACGACCCAGCCCTCTTCATCTTTCTCTCCCAGGCTACAGCGGAAACCAGACGGAAACCACCATCACCGAAGTAAAGCAGCAGCTACACTACTCCATACTCTAATACACCAGATGCCCCGCAATGCTTCTACTTCATCAATTTTTGGTCCATATTTCGATATGTGGAAAGGATCCATGTCTCTTTGCTTTCTGTTGCGCGCTCTTCTTCATCGCCATCGCCGAATCTAGATCTAAATCGCTTCTTCTTCTTCTTCTAATGATTCTTCTCCTTTATTTTGGATTAATTTCTGAAACGATGATGATTCGTCAGGCAAATATTTTTTCACATCTGCCGCCGCCGTTGTAGGGGTGTGGGGGTGCATGGATCCGCGGTGGTGAGGGGGTGGGTAAGCGATGGGGCTGGGAATTGGGAGAGAGGGTTTAGGAGGGGCGGAAGAGCACGACGGCGGTGGATGGTTGTAGACAGGGGCAAGCGTTGGAAGTGGGAGAGGGGTTGGGGCCGGTGTTGGAAAGGGGCTGGCCAATGTGGACGGGTCACTATCGAATTGGGTAAATGTGGCAGAAGTATCTTTGTCCGGTGTCTGGCCAGCGGCGGTGGCGGCGGTCACTAGCCGACGGCGGTGGCCGGAGGTAGCATAGGCCAACGCTGGAAGTGGGGCTGGGGGATGGGGACTGGGGTAGGTGGTGGTCGGGTTCAGGGTTTGTGTTGAAAAGGAATCGGTGGTGGTGCCTAGCGGTTTTGGCCGGTGGTGGTTTCCGGTGGTAAATTTGCTCGGATAAATGTGGTAGAAGTAACTGTATCGGAGTCACTACGAAAGTGTGACTATGGAGGTGTCACTGTGGATATGTCACTGTCACTGGTGACAGTTACCGGTCGGTGGCGACGGCGGTGGTCAATGGCCGGTAGTGGAGGCGTGGTCACTGTGGCGGCAGTCACTATAACGGGTGTCACTATGGCTAGTTTGTAACTATACGGGTAAATTAGTAAGCTTAACCCTTATTGGTCACTATGGCAGTGGTCATTAGACGGTGGTCACCAAGCATTGGTAACTGTGCCATTGGTCACTAGTCACTACTTGACAGAGTCACTGTCATAATCGTCACTTTGGTCACTGAACACTTTTGGTCACTTTGGTCACTGTACCGGGTCACTGTAGCAAGCTAGGTGGTCCTGAGTTCATTATGGGTGTAATTGTCCTATTATTAAATTTTAGTCTCATTGTTTGAAATTAAAACATAAGTACTCATTTTTGTCCACCGGTAGTTTTTAAGTAATATTGTAGTCTTAACCCCTTAATAATACTATATTACTATATATACTTAAATATTTAATTAAATTAATTGAAATACTTTTTTTTATCATAAATTAATTGAAATACTTAAAAATTAGTTTAGAACTAAAGCTACGTTAATGCAAAAAAAAATAATTATCAAGATTAAGCATGTTCGGTGATATATTAGAAAATAATGATAAATACATGATCTAAATAATTAAGAGTGGACACAATGTGTCTTTTATACTTCAATATCCGAGTATATTTTGAAAAATAGTTTTGAAGTGTACGTGTATAATATAAGGGGTTTTGCCTTCAATATTACTAATAAAAGGGCGATTGATAAAAAGTGACCTTTTTAAAAAAATTTAGAAATGTGACTCATAAGTGACAAGCTTACTTATATACCGACTGCTACAGTGACACGAGACACAGTGACATCCACCACCTTTTCCCACCGCCTCCCACCGGTGACCGTAGTCGCCGGAGACCGTCGCCGGCCATAGTGACAACGACCATAGTGATACGACAGTGACACTGTCACTGCCCAGTGACACCGATTTTCAGTGACGCCACCTGCCAAAAGTTACTCCGGCTGTAACCACCGCCCTGTCACTATGACCGTCGAAAAATTTTGTGGTGACATTAAATTTTCCGATGACACCATCCGTCGGAAGTTACTCTGGTCACCACCACTTGGGTAATGTCCTTCCTCAACCTTCCAACACCCCTTCCAAGCTGAGGCCCTGCATAATTTGTTATTCTGACCTCATGGCCCAACCGTAGAATCCTAGCCGTCAGATCCCGTCACCACACCTCGGTCGTCAAATCCGGTCATCACACCTCGACCGTCAGTCGCTAAATACCATTGCCGCAACCATGACCCCCGCCCTCCCTCAGACCCTAGCTAGGTGGTTGATGGATAGTGTACCCGGGGGTAGCTTATCTGAGGGGTTATTGTGGAGAATAACCTAGAGAGAAGTCAGAGCAAGCAAGTAAGAGAGAGAGCCAAGTATATTAAATGAACTTGTTCTGGGATCCTTTACAAGAGGAATAAGGGCTGCTATTTATAGCAGTCATAAGTGCGATGAGAGTACACATGTCAACAATCTAACGGCCGAGGGGTCACCTCAATCGGGGTGGCTCCGACACTCGCATGTGCACCGCATTAAATGCGGTGGGTGTATGTGACGTCGCATTGAATGCAGTGGTTGCTTGTCTCCAGAGGAAGGGGTTAGTTCCTCATTTGGAGCCTAAATATGCTAAAAATATAAAGAAAGTATTTAACTAAACTGATCTTAGAAGTATATAGGAATTGGTGGTTTTTGTGACACCGCACTCGAACGTCCTTGAAAATTCAATTTAAAATTCAAAGTTTATGTATTGAATTTCCGATTACCAAACAATTGTAAAACGATTAATGTTTTACGTAGTGCATGATTGATTATTGTACTGTTCGAACTAGTATATTAATGTCGGGCTTGCAAATACTTATTTGGGCCTTATTAATGAATATAAGAGCCCAACATTATCTAACTACTGATACATAATCTTTCAAGACAAGTTGAGGAAGGTTGGGCAGCCCAAACATTTTTGGGCCCAACCTGCTAAAAATAGTAAGTATTCAAGAATGGCGTCCTAGGCCCACTCGAGGGTGACCCACACGGCTTGTAGCCCAACAATGTGAATAATAATGTCACAAATAAGTGTTAAGATGGTTAGCGAATAATACAAATGAATATGGTCCAATCTTTGACATTATTGAGCTAAATAATGTGAATATGTTTTCTTCTATAAGATATGGAAGGTTTTATGGTTGGGGGCTATCTACTCAGGGTTAAGCGCATCACCCCCTCTACCCATCTACTACTGTGTTGTATATATAGCAACATTTATTTCATTATAAAGGGTTGACAAACTTGCATTCTTAACAGTAGACTTTCTCTCTAGTTCTTCTGTAGTCATCACCTTGATCTAAGAGTCGGGGTCGGAGCTCAAGGCTCGATACAAGTGTTGTAATCATTCTAAACCTTAATAGAACTCAATTTGCTTTGCTTCTGATTTACTTGTTATTATTCTTGTTTCTTTCTTGCTTTAAACACACTCATAAACCATAGAAGAGGATTCCTACAAAAGCCCAAGAGACTGTGTTGCGCCTTCGGACCGATGATTAGATTTTCTAATTATATTACATGTCATATTTACTTCTGAACTTATTACTCTGTAATTATTAATTAGTGACTAACGAGAACCCTAGGGGCAAAAAGTAGAAAGAAGCCATCTTCCAATCCGTCTAGATCGTTCGCGGCGAAGGAGGGAGGAATCGTTGTCTCTAGCCTTACTCTTCTTCGGCAACAGTAATGCAGTGATCCAAACTATCTACTCATGATATCAACGCTTAGAGATTCATGGTAGAGGTGTGATCCAATTGGATTGCTCTTCTCTTCTAGTTATGTTGACTTTGTCTTTCTCGATGTGGGGCATTCTGTTGGTGGCCCGACTAGCTTCGTCTAGTTAGGGGTTTCTGTCTGCTTTCTTTTAGAGTGCAAAAACATATGTAGAGCTCATTTTCCTCTAGAACCACCTTTGTGCCATGAATTTTTTTATGAAAAGGCGTTGTTTCAATTTGATTTTTCTATTAATAGTACTTGTTTTTATTTTAGTTGGAGTAGGGTTGCTTTGGTAATTTGAATTCTGGTGTTCGTTTGATAGGCAATAATGCAATATTTCAATGTCAAATGTTTTAGATTTTAAATTGTCCGTTTTGTGTCAAACGTATCAAATTGTTTTGTATGAAATGATTGATTTTATATCTATTTCCAAGCTCACAATTAGATCTGTCATAAAATGTTTTCTTAAAATCAAACCAAGATTGGCTTGGTTTGATCTAGACTTAATTTGGTAGAACTAAAGGATCGTGTCAATTTTGATGTGAAAAGGCAGAGACATTACGTTGAAAACTTTTAATAGGTATAATGACAAATGTATCACTAAAATGAAGTTTCTGGATAAAATGTGACTTTTAAAGAAACTATATGTCTATATTGATCACAATTTTATTCAAATTTACATTATAGTCACTTTCATAGAACCATATTCCACATTGCATCTATAAACTTCATTTCGATAATACCCCAAGGAAAAATCTATACACATACTACGTATATAAATATTTGCTCTCACAAAAACTCACACAAACACTGATAATTCTAATACATTTACTGTTAAAACATCAAT